ACCGCAGGGAAAACGCGGACGAATCGGGCGATAGCATCGCCCCGACTCAACCAGCGGACCGAGTGGATCTCCTGGACCTCGAGGTTGGTGTGCGTGAACACCTCCTGCAGCTCCTTGAACTTGCGGTTGTAGTTGCTGGATCTGCCTAGATCTTCCGCCAATGCGCGGATGACCGCGTCAATGATGCCAAGCTCGGGCAGTGCCTTAGCCGCCTCCTTTGCAGCAAGCGCCTCTCTGCCACGGGTAGGAAAGCACAGGTGGGGGTGTTAGAATTCGCACTGCCACGTTGCACATTTCACACTGCTACAACACCACCACAGCATCAGCTTACCTGTGTGCGATGCAGTGACAAGCCACCACGTGCGGGATCTCCAGGCGAAGGCGCCCAACGAGGCCCGTGTCGTTGCCTATCATCACAGGTGCCCCATCGGTGCTGATACCCGCAACCTTCTCCAGCGGGAGGTTGATACTGTCAAGGAATTCCGTGAGCTTAGAAAAAAGAGAAGCTGCATCACACTTCTCGATGGAGAGGTTAGTTAGGAACTCTGTGGTGACGGCGTGCTCACGTAGAAAGGTTGCAAACACAATCATGTGCTTGCCTTTGACGCGGTCCGTACTCTCGTCGCAGGTCAGACCAATAAATGGACTCGAGTTGATGAATTCTCTCTGGCGCGCACGAAGGTATGTCGCTATTGCGGCGGTTATCTCCTCGAATCCGTACCTGCACGGGCATCAACGGGTGGGGTCAGAGATAGCTGCAAGTACATCACAACCCGCTGCCAGTTGAACAAGAGCAGTGTCACTTACGTCGTATAGTACGCACCATAACTGTTCTTTGGGAAGCCCGGGGTGCCACGCTGCGCCAGGTGTTGGACGAGGTCCACGTACATCTCGATCGGGGCGTCGGACTTAGCGATGAAGAGCGCCGTCTGAAACAGCGCGAGCAGGCGCTCCTTCTCCACGTCTTTCACATTCGGGTTGTCGTCAATACGTGCATTTGCTTTGAGAGCGGCCTCGGCTGTCTTCTGTCTGCGCACAGCGCGGCGGTGCTTCCTTGTGCGCTGATGCTTCCGCATCGCCTGAGTCTGAACATCGGTCGCCCCTTCTCCTTTGGCGCCGAAGTTCGTCCCCGTACCGGCGTGCGCAATGCAGACCTTGCACTTGATTGACGGGAACCCTGCTTTATTCTGCAGCAGTACAAGCCACGGGTAGTCGTCAGACCATTGTTTGTTAAACATAGCTAAAGCCTCTTGGTATTTCTCCTCCGCAATGTCGGGCAGTTCTGTATCGGAAGACACCTCAACCGCTTTCCCCTTCATTTTACGCTGACGGGCCTTCGGGGAAGAGTTACCCACACCGGACGTTGGTGTAGCTTGACTGGAACCCCACCCGATCTTGGTCTGGTGGTACCTCACTTTAATACCCCTTTTAAGGCGAGGACCTTGCCGAGTAGTTCCGGCAGCGACAGGTTGACGGTTCCGTGTGGGTTCGGGAGCGGCAGGTGTAGATCCGACAGCGTCAGGAGTTGATGCGGCAGCGACAGGCGTTGATGCGGCAGCGACAGGCGTTGATGCGGCAGCGACACGAGTTGATGCAGCAGCGACAGGAGGTGAAGCGGCAGCGCCTACATGCGTCGAACACTCGCCCTGCGTCCAGATGGTAGGTGCCTCGGGGCTAGTGGAAGGGAACGGCACGGCTTGAGCTGACGGCGGGACTAACGCGGGAGCAGCGTGAACGCGTCGTAAAAAGTCTAAGCCAGTAATAGCGGCTGGCCTCGTGCCTGCGACGGGCGGAGGGCCGTCACCTGCGGGCGTCGAAACCGCCATGGCTGCTCAGCGCTGCAGAGCATGCCGAGCTTGAGGGAGAAGCTACTCCTGCTTCAGCTCGAACATCACTTCCTGCAGGGGTTCACGAGGAGTGCAGGAACAGAATGAGGGAGCAGATGGGGGTACCCCCTCTCCCGAGCTGCGAGAGATAAGTTTGAAATTTCAAATGTCTTATTTCCCACCCACCCACCCTAGCAAAAATTGCATGTCGTCATGTGTAACGTAGGTATCATATATATCCCGGACGAGAATGATGTAATGCCCATTTGAAACAAAGCTCGTTGCCATTGCAAACACAAGAAAGCAAGCTTTCTAAATATTGTCCCTACATGTACTGTAGTAATTCTAACAAAAGGAAACGTCCTTTTGAGTGCCTCTGGTAAATGTGTGCTTCAAAAGTAGCAGACATGTTGTAACTGCCATACATATGTGCAGGCATGAACTCAAGACAGGACAGAAAAACTTGTAACAGTTACCCTGTGCCTCCCCTAAATGTCTCTATCCCACTATCCCTCTGCCCGCCCCTGGGACAAGTACTGCTGCACAAACCCCACGTGCAGCGCCATACCAATGGGCAGAGGAGCTCCATACCCGTTATAAGCACCTCTACCCGTTAACAAGCATCTCTACCCGTTATAAGCATCTCTACCCAGTGCCATGAGATCTTTTATGCCAGCTTGCTCCTCTAAGCCTCTGCCCGCCCCTGGGACAAGTACTGCTGCACGAACACCACGTGCAGCGCCACACCAGTGGGCAGAGCTGCTCCTGTTTGCTCCATGCCGGAACACCTTTTTATCTTTGCTTCTCTGTGCATGCACACCTACCCCTGCCCCTCTACCCCTGTGCCCGCCCCTATGACAGGAACTGCTGCACGAACCCCACGTGCAGAGCCACGCAAATGGACGGAGCCGCTCCAAATGCCTTCCCAATGCCTTCCCTGTACGCCTGCAGCTCTAAGCCTCTGCCCGCCCCTGGGACAAGTACTGCTGCACGAACCCCACGTGCAACGCCACGCCAATGGGCAGAGCCGCCTCGTCGATTGTGAACACGGGGGAATGCAGAGGCGGACTGTTGCTGCTGCTGGTAGTGGTGCTGGTGGTGGTGGTGGTGGCAGTGGCACTACTGCTGCTGCTACCGCTGTTGCCACTGGTGCTATTGACCCCAGATGCCCCCACTCCCAGAAAGAACATGGCCCCAGGCACCGCCTCCTGGTAAAAAGAAAAATCCTCGCCAGCCATCCACGGATCCACATCCAGGTACGCGGAGCTTCCCAGAAGCTTCTGGACCACGTCGCGGCCGAGAGCGTGCATGCTGACGTCATTCACTGTGGGCGGGTAGGCTGGGATGCGCTTCGGGGGCCAGGCGTACCCGAGAGGGTCGGCAAGAGGCTCGGAAAGAGGCTCGGAAGAAGGTTCACCAGAGATTTTAGCAGTACAGGAGCCTTGAGCCGTATTGCCAGCTGTGTTTGTGCAAAAACCTTCTGATTCTGATTCTGCTGCCTTCGTCGCTTCATCACCACCACCACCATCAGCACCAGCATCAGCTTGCAGATTAGCATCCATCATCCCATAATCCACCTCTCCCCGGCATCCAAACACGCGCGCCTGCGTGTCGATGATGTCAGCAATGCGCCGTTCCAGGTCAGCGAGCCCGTCTTTAGTGGTGGCTCTGTAGGTGCCCCGCAGCGTGACTGTATCGGGGATGACATTATCAGCCGAGCCGCCGTGGAACTGCGTCACCGAGATAACACGTGAAGCGAAAGGGTCGGTCTCTCTCGAAACGATGGCTTGGAGGCTGAAGAAGCGGAGGGAAAGAGGGGAGGGGCGGCAGGGGAATGAAAGCAGGAAGGAAGAAAGTAGGGTAACAGGGGGACAGGTGAAAAGAGGAAACATCAGGGTCAGCGAGCCCGTCCTTAGTGGTGGCCCTATAGGTGCCCCGCAGTGTGACTGTATCGGGGATGACATTAACAGCCGAGCCGCCGTTGAACTGAGTCACTGAGACCACCTGCAAGGCAAAGGGGTCTGTTTCCCTTGACACTATGCCTGGAGGCTAAGAGGGGTACGGGAGGAGGGGAGGGGGATGACATTGTCGGCCGAGCCGCCGTGAGTCACCGAGATAACTCGTGAGGCGAAGGGATCTGTCTCCCTTGATACTTTGGCCTGGAAGCTGGGGGTAACGGAGGGGAGGAGCGGAGGTGGAAGAGGGTGCAGGGTGAGGGGCATGCAGGGTAGGGCGGGGGGAGGAGGAGGGGAGAATGGCGGATAGGGAGGAGGAAGCAGGGAGAAAGAAAGGGAATGCGAGAAAAAGAACATCAGAGTCAGCAGATCCAGTTCCTAGGTTTGATTCGACTCAAATCAGGGTTAGCAGACTTGATTTTTAGTGGTGGTGGTATGGTCCCCTTGTCCCAAACAGAGGTTACTGTATACCTGGATTTGAAACAATGCTTCCCCTTATACGATGTGAGCGGCAGCGAGGATGAGGTATGCCGTTGCAACTGGGATAGTAACTGGGGCATGGCCAGCCGCCGTCGCTCCTCACATGCTGAGCTATAGTGTTCACATTGCTGTGCTATCACGTTCCCCCTACCTTGATACGATGTGAGAAGCAGCGAGGATGTGGTCTGCTGCAAACTGAGGCGCGGCTGCATGGCCCCCCTTGCCCCACACCCAAGAGGTGTTCAACCGGCCCCAACCCAAGAGGTGTTCAACCGCATTAGTTACCTACCTTGACACGATGTGAGCGGCAGCGAGGATGTGGCCTGCTGCGAAGCGGGGCATGACCGCGTGTCCCCCACCGTGGCCCCCGTGTCCCCCTATGTGCCCCCCGTGCCCCACACTGTGGTGTTGAATCGACCACAGCACGGCCGCCCTTGCCCCACACTGTGGTGGGCAGACTCTTGCTCTCATCTGATGTTCATCTCACCTTGATAGATACGATGTGAGCAGCAGCAAGGATGGCGTCTGCTGCGAACTGGGGCATGGCTGCACGACCCCCCTTCCCCGAGACAGTGGAGTGGAGTGCGGTGGTACATTGTCTATCGCATAATCGCACCTGGAGACGATGTGAACAGCTGCCACGATCGGGTCTGCTGCACACTTAGGCATGGCGGCATGGCCGCCCTTGCCCCTCACAGTGGCCACTGCTTACCTGAATGTATTCTCATGCAACCCTTACCTGGACACGATGTGAGCAGCAGCGAGGATCGGGTCTGCTGCGAACTGAGGCATGGCCGCATGGCCCCCTTTGCCCCACACTGTGGCGTTGAAACGCCCCGACCCTGCTAGCAGCATCCCGGGCCGACTGCCCACATAGCCTGCTGGGATCTGCAAGCAAAACGGCAAAGAAAAAAGGTACGCATGCATAGACGCATTCATACAGAGACCTAGACTTCCCACCTTGGGTGAGACGTGCAAGGCAAAGGCAGCAGACGCGCCCTTGAGAGCCCCCCCATCCACCATGCGCTTCCACCCTTCAGTGAAGGACAAGAAAGTTAAGTCAGTAGTGAAAAGATTCAAGTCATAACTACTTTAAAATTTCCACACAAATACGTACGTTTATACATAACTATAATCCATAGAGTTCCCACCTTGGGTGATACACGCAGAGCGAAGGCAGCAGACGCGCCATTGAGAGCCCCCCCATCCACCATCCGCTTCCCCCTTCCACACATATATGTATGCACATACGGAATCAGAACATAGACGTCCCACCTCGGGAGATACGTGCAGGGCGAAGGCAGCAGAGACGCCCTTGAGAGGCCACCCATCCACCATCCACCCCTTCTACACAAGTATGAATGTGTGTACATAATTATAATACATACACTTTCTACCCGGGCAAAGGCAGCAGACACGCCTTGAGAGGGACCCCCCCCTATCCACCATACGCTTTCCCACTTCCTCACGTATATGTATGCATGCATAAAGACATTCATACCAATACATAGACTTTCTACCTTGGGAGATACGTGCAGGGCGAAGGCAGCAGACACGCTATTGAGAGGCCACCCATCCACCATCTGTGTTCCCCCTTCCACATGTATGTGCATCCATTTACACATATACATAATATAATCACAAAGACTTCCTACCTTGGGTGATACGTGCAGCGCGAAGGCAGCAGACGCGCCCTTGAGAGCCCCCCCATCCACCATCCGCTTTCCCCCTGCCCCCCCTTCCTCTGCTGGCTGAAAGATAAGACGAACCGTGCCGCCCAAGGTGCCTGGAGAAGGGGCGGCAGAAACGATGACAGAGGAGTGCAAGAAACAACCACTATGCGAGGAGGTAGAGTGAAGGGTTAAGGAAAGAAGGAGGTAGAGTGAAGGGTTAAGGAAAGAAGAAGGTAGAGTGAAGGGTTTAGGAAAGAAAGAAGGGTTTAGGAAAGAAAGAAGGGTTTAGGAAAGGAGGTAGAGTGAAGGGTTAAGGAAAGAAGGAGGTAGAGTGAAGGGTTTAGGAAAGAAAGAAGGGTTTAGGAAAGAAGGAGGTAGAGTGAAGGGTTTAGGAAAGAAAGAAGGGTTTAGGAAAGGAGGTAGAGTTAGGGATGAGCAAGGTGGCGAACACCTGTTCGGTTCGCCTCGAACGTGTTCGAGGCGAACCGAACAGGTTTTGTTTTTCAGCTTAAATCGTTCGCCCGAACGTGTTCGATGTTCGCCCGAACACGTTCGTGTTCGTGGCGCTGCTGCAGAACGCCCCGTGGCGAACACGGACGTGTTCGAGGTTCGCCCGAACATGCCTCCACAGGCGAACAGCGAACACCTGTTTTTTCCTAAACTGTTCGCCGAACCGAACAGTGTTCGGTTCGGCAAAAGAGGGTGTTCAACAAGGGGCGAAGACGAACATGTTCGTGTTCGCCCTTTGCTCATCCCTAGGTAGAGTGAAGGGTTTAGGAAAGAAGGAGGTAGAGTGAAGGGTTTAGGAAAGAAAGAAGGGTTTCGGAAAGAAGGTGGTAGACTGAAGGGTTTAGGAAAGACAGTAGGGTTTAGGAAAGAAGGAAGTAGATTGAAGGGTTTAGGAAAGAAAAAAGGGTTTAGAAAAGGAGGAGGTAGAGTGAAGGGTTTAGGAAAGAAAGAAGGGTTTAGGAAAGGAGGTAGAGTGAAGGGTTTAGGAAAGAAAGAAGGGACAAAAGAGATAAAAGACAAACAGGAGAAAGGTTTCAATAAAGAGGCTACTGCACGCACGCAGCTCACTGAGCCATGTCCGGATCTCGCGAGAAACAAGAGAAAGGTTTCTATGAAGAGGCTACTGCACGCACGCAGCTCACTGGGCCATGTCCGGATCTCGCGAGAAGCAAGAGAAAGGTTTCTATGAAGAGGCTACTGCACGCACGCAGCTCACTGATCCATGTCCGGATCTCGCGAGAAACAAGAGAAAGGTTTCTATAAAGAGGCTACTGCACGCACGCAGCTCACTGAGCCATGTCCGGATCTCGCGAGAAACAAGAGAAAGGTTTCTATAAAGAGGCTACTGCACGCACGCAGCTCACTGAGCCATGTCCGGATCTCGCGAGAAACAAGAGAAAGGTTTCTATAAAGAGGCTACTGCACGCACGCAGCTCACTGAGCCATGTCCGGATCTCGCGAGAAACAAGAGAAAGGTTTCTATAAAGAGGCTACTGCACGCACGCAGCTCACTGAGCCATGTCCGGATCTCGCAAGAAACAAGAGAAAGGTTTCTATAGAGAGGCTACTGCACGCACGCAGTGTCGGAAAACTGCTATTGCCAGCCATCTGCCCTTCCTTCTGTCCTTCTTGCTCCTCTCTGTTCCTGTCCTGCCTCAGCCACTCTTATGAAAGAGTTTCCTCCCTCACCCCGTAGGTCCTCCCATAGTGGCGTGCCACCGGATGCTAGATCTGAGGTAACAACTTTCCACTTATATGAGAGAATAACAAGAGAAAAGCATCGGGTGTGTGTGAGAGAGTGAATTTACCTGGCCCAGGCTCGAACCGTGCATTTCTCAATGTGCAGCTCGAGCCTGGGTTGGTTTGTTCACATTGGTTCCTTGGATTCCACCCCTCGGTGCTCTCCTACCCACCTCGCGTCAGTTTCCCTGGTCCCCAACTACCTGCCCTACAATGTGCACACTCAACATTGCTACACCATAACTACACCGCATACTCTGGCACCTTATATGCATAATCATGCATATTCGGTGACAGCTGTTGGAAAACTGCTATTGCCAGCCATCTGCCCTTCCTTCTGTCCTTCTTGCTCTTCTCTGTTCCTGTCCTGCCTCAGCCACTCTCTGCCCCCTCCTGTGCCCGTGCTCGAGCAGCTTGAGCGCGGGTCACAGGACCAGCACGCTGAGGCCCTGTCCCTCTGATCACAGCTGTGTTCGGCTGGTGCTCCTTCAACTGTGCCCCCTTCTCATTGTCCAGTACCAGCACCCCTGAGGGGCGCACCCCCTTGACCTTCCATCGCACAGTCCCCAACCCCACATCCAGTGTGTCCTGCTTCGCGCTCTTCAGGGATACCTCCTGTCCTTCACAGACTCCCTTCGGCACTCTCCCCTCTCCCTTGCGTTGCCTCTGCTTTACCCTGCCCTTCCCCACCGCTTGTAAGGCCAATCGCCTCCTATGTTTCGCTAATATTGCCAACATCACCTTCTTCCCTTCTTCGCTCACTGTCTCTCCCACCTTCCACTCTGGATACTCCCCTTCCATGCAGGACCAGGCTCCTCGCGGGACCGCTGCTGCCTCTGCTTTCCCTCCACCCTGTACCCGTCCCTGTAGTGACTCCGACCTCATCATCTGCTCATTCATTGTATTCCCCAACGCCCTCCTCCCTTGCAGCTTAGTCGCACCTGGGGCTGCCGTGATGTTCTCTCCATTCCTCAAGGCTAATTCTCGCTCCAGAGCCGTGGGCTCTTCCCTTCTGCCCTCCTTGTGATCATACACCATAGCAGGTCCCGCCTTCCCTTCTTCGCCCTTTCCGTCTGCCCCCAGCGCTGACAGTGCCTGTACCTCCTGTCCCCCCCGATTACATGGGTAAAGCTTGCTGTAGCACCTCCTAGTCACTCGTGCCGTTGTCCTTACCGGCTCTAAAATGCCCTGCACCTTCCTCCCCCAAGCCCGTCCCACACCGTCTATTTCCTCCTGCAGATATTGGGCGGGCACCAAGTTCTGCCGGCACGTCCCGAGCCGACGAGCTCGTGCCCCCACCTGAGCTCGTGCCCCCACCTGAGCTCGTGCCCCCACCTGAGCTCGTGCCCCCACCTTTGCTGTACCATCTCTCGCCCCCAGTCCCATCTGCTGTATGATCCTCTTCCTCACCTGTCGTGTGGGCTCTCGGCTGTCCCTTTTGAAATCCAAAAATTCTACTCGGAACACTATGCTGCCCTGCCTCTCCTGCAGCTGTTTCATGATATGAAACCCGTTCTCGATCAGTTTCGTGCGAAGGTCCCTTTCTCCTAGCCCCATCCACTTCTCGCGCAGCCTCCACCCGACATGGTGCTCTGCCATCTTCCTTACGACGGGCTCCTTGTCCTGGTAAATCCACTGCTTTACTGTGTTCCCATGCTTTATCACTGCCGCCGGCCCTGCTCCTATCCCGCCCAACAGTTTGACCTGACGGATGGGCTGCTGCCAGTTACTCTGCTGGCCCTGCTCCTATCCCGCCCGACAGTTTGACCTGACGGATGGGCTGCTGCCAGTTACTCTGCTGGCCCTGCTCCTATCCTGCTCCTATCACGGTCTGCTTCCCCACGGTCTGCTTCCCCACAGTCTGCTTCCCCACGATCTGCTTCCCCACGGTCTGCTTCCCCACGGTCTGCTTCCCCACGGTCTGCTTCCCCACGGTCTGCTTCCCCACGGTCTGCTTCCCCACGGCCTGCTTCCCCACGGCCTGTCTGCTTCCCCACGGTCTGCTTCCCCACGGTCTGCTTCCCCACGGTCTGCTTCCCCACGGTCTGCTTCCCCACGGTCTGCTTCCCCACGGTCTGCTTCCCCACGGTCTGCTTCCCCACGGTCTGCTTCCCCACGGTCTGCTTCCCCACGGTCTGCTTCCCCACGGTCTGCTTCCCCACGGTCTGCTTCCCCACGGTCTGCTTCCCCACGGTCTGCTTCCCCACGGTCTGCTTCCCCACGGTCTTCATCTTTCCCTCCTCCTGTCTTTCCACCCCTCCTTGTGCATCCTGTTTCCCTGCCCCCTGTTTCTTCCCTGTCAATGGTGTCAGTTCAGTCAGAGCACGAGTGATTTCCATCCAATCAAGTTCTCCCGGTTCTGCCATCGCTGCTGATACACACGCTTCTGCCCCCACCTGCTCGTCTCGTTCCTCCGCTCCCGTTGCTGCTGATATACACGCTCGTGCCTCCATCCCCTCATCTTTCCTTTCCGCTTTCGCTACTGCTGATGTGCATGCCTGTGCCCACACCTTCCCTTCTTTCCCTTCCGTTCTCACTGGAGCACATGCCCATGCCCCCACCTTCTCGTTCTCCCTGTCCGCTTCCGTCGCTGCTGATTCACACGCCTGTGTTCTCACCTTCTCTTCTCTCCCTTCCGGTTCTACTACTTCTGGTGTGCATGTCTGTGCCCCAACCTTCTCTGCCTTGCTTTCCGCTTCTGCTACTGCTGGCATACCGTTCTGTGCCCCCTGTTTCTTCTTTGGCAATAGTGTTAGTTCAGTCGGAGCATGGGTGCTTGCCATCCACTCAAGTTCCCCCATTCCTGCCGTCGTCACAACCATCCCCTTAGCTAGCTGCTTCTCTGGTGCTATCAGTCCCAGTTCTTCTGCCATGACCTTCCCCAACTTCCTACTCCGTGCTCCAGTGTCTGTGATCACCGTCTTGTCCTTCTCCCCCTCCATTGCCGTCGCTCCATTTCTCACCACCAGTTTTGAAATCTGGCTTACTAGCCCGTCCGGCGGGTGGCGAGCCACAACATCCTTTGGAGTTGGCTCCTCTGCCTCCTGCCCCTTCTCTCCTCCTTTTTGTAGGTGCTCCTGGTGGCCGTCCTCCCCTCCACTGCATAGTCCCATCTCTTCCCTTCCCCTCCAGGCCATATACGCGCGTTGCACATCCTGCCCTACTTCCCCGTCATCCCCATCTCTGGCGCTCGTTCCTGCCTCCGCTTCCTGCCTTGGTCTGAGTGCCTGCAGCTGTGCTTGTAGCCGGTTGAGCTCTTCCGGGTCCCCCTTTGCTGTCCCCTCCCGTTGGTAGCAGTCCTTCGCCTCACGTCCCTTCTTGCTGTAGATTTCACACCCTGATGGATCTGGGCACTCTCTCCTCAAGTGTCCCGGCTTCCCACAGCAATCCCAGTTCTTGCAATCTCTCCTAACGTGCCCCGACTGTCCGCATCTGTAGCAGGTCCTGTTCTCTGCCCTACCATCCCCTCGTCCCTCTGACCTTCCCCTATCCTCAGCCATCCTTGCTGCTGCCCATGTTGGTCCTCGGCTCTTCTCTGTCGTTCGGGGCCGGTATGCTTCATACTTCCTCTGCGCAAGCTCCATCTTCTCCGCTAACTCAAACACCTCATCTAGTGTCGTGTCTGCTCCCAGTGTGTAAACCTTCATTCGCAGCCCATTCCCCATGGTATTGTCCAGCCCATCGAGGAATTTGCTAACGAGTAGGCCCATGTCTGAGCATGTCACATCCTCCGCCACATTGATCAGCTTGCTGTAGTAGGTGAGCAACGACTCGCTCCGCCCCCTCCTGAAATCCTGAAACTCTCTTATCCGCTCTGCTGTATTTCCAGGAAACTGCCGCTGCAGCCGCCGCAGGAATGCCTCCGTGGGGTCTTCCCCATACATCCCTGCCCTCTCCAGTAGCTCGTCCATCTTCATCCTGTACAACGTTTCTGCCTCCCCTTCCAATGTATTCGGCAGACTTAGGAAGAAGTCCACAGAGTCCATGCCGCTCCTCTCGCATCTGTACCTCACACTCCCCACTTGCATTAGGTAGTTCTTGAGTGTCGGCCACGTGTGCTGATCTCCCGAGAATCGCGCCGGCACTTCCACTCGCGTGGCCATTGTTGTGCTCCTCCAACCGTCTCCCCATGGTTCAATCAGTCCTCTCGTCTGCCTTCTTGATCACTCCCTCTCCCTTGCCCTCTCGATTCCTTCCCTTGCCTCTGTGGCGCACTCTGTGCTGTATGCCAGACCGCCGCCTCCCCTTTTGCTTCTGCGCTGGTCCTGTCCCGCCTCGCTTCGCAGGTCCTCCGCACTCATCCGTGCTCCTGCTCACCCCAACTGCCGCTCTGGCGAATAATGCGCCCTCGCCCATCCTTCCCTTAGCGTTCCGCGCTGCCAGTGCCTCTCGGGCGGCGGGGATCTCTCGTCCCTTCTTCCTCCATGCCTGCGGCGACTTTCTTGCAGATGCCACTCCTCCTCCCATCTCCCTCCCTACTTACGCTGCAGATCTGGCGAACGTGCCTCGCCCCTTGCCCTTCCCTCGTTGTGCCACTGCAGATCAGGCGAGCCAGACTCGCCAGTCCGTCTTCTATCACGTTGCCAATGCTGATCAGGCGAGCGCGCCCCGCCTCCCCGCCTCCCATCATGGTGCCGACGCGGAGCAAGCGAGCGCGACCCTCTGTTCCGCCCTCCTCTGCGCTGCCGACGCGGATCAGGCGAGCGCGACCCTCCGTTCCGCCCTCCTCCGCGCTGCCGACGCGGATCAGGCGAGCGCGACCCTCCGTTCCGCCCTCCTCCGCGCTGCCGACGCGGATCAGGCGAGCGCGACCCTCCGTTCCGCCCTCCTCCGCGCTGCCGACGCGGATCAGGCGAGCGCGACCCTCCGTTCCGCCCTCCTCCGCGCTGCCGACGCGGATCAGGCGAGCGCGACCCTCCGTTCCGCCCTCCTCCGCGCTGCCGACGCGGATCAGGCGAGCGCGACCCTCCATTCCGCCCTCCTCCGCGCTGCCGACGCAGATCAGGCGAGCGCGACCCTCCGTTCCGCCCTCCTCCGCGCTGCCGACGCGGATCAGGCGAGCGCGACCCTCCGTTTCGCCCTCCTCCGCGCTGCCGACGCGGATCAGGCGAGCGCGACCCTCTGTTCCGCCCTCCTCCGCGCTGCCGACGCGGATCAGGCGAGCGCGACCCTCCATTCCGCCCTCCTCTGCGCTGCCGACGCGGATCAGGTGAGAACTCGTCCCTGGGCGCTTCATATCGCATCTCCGCTCGCCCCCGCTGCTGCTCTGACGAATGATTCGCCTTCGCTCGCGCGTCCTGGCTGCTTCTATGCTGCCGATCTACCCCTGGCGAAGGTGACCACTCGTCACGCCTTCCTCTACGTGGCCGATGCGGGTCTGGCGAGCGTAATTGATCACTTCGCCTTCCCCCTCCCTGCCGATGCAGATCTGGCGAGCACAACCTGTCGCCTCGCCTTCCTACGCACATGCGATGCAGATCTGATGCATGCGGCCCTTTTTTTCGCCTTCTTTCTGTCAGTAGATCTGCACTGTGGATGCCCGATTAATCCTGGAGAGGGTTACAGGCGCGTTCGCCTAGGGGGTTATGGGCGCACTGACCCGCTACTGAAACAAGCCTTTTTATCCCAATGGTATAGTGGTTGGGGTTCTCACATGGTATCAGAGCGGTCTCGGCTTCGAATCTCGGTGTATGTACATGTAGGCCGTTGCCGCTGTGCTTAGTCCTCGGCCTCCCAGTGTGGGGGGTGTCAGTAGATCTGCACTGTGGATGCCCGATTGATCCTGGAGAGGGTTACAGACACGTTCGCCTAGGGGGTTATGGGCGCACTGACCCGCTATTGAAACAAACTTTTTTATCCCAATGGTCTAAAGGTTGGGATTCTGACGCCTTCGTCCTGCCGACGCATATCTAGAGGATAATCTTCTTCCGCACGCTCATGCGTCATGTCGCCCTGCTTTTCTTGTGGCTCAGGCGCCGAATCCTTTCCGTGGCTGTCATCGCCAAGCTCTGTTCGCTAATCTGACGAACGATCTCCTTCATTCGCCCCACCTTGCTCCGCCTCGTCGCGCGCCGACGCCTGATCCGATGCGCCTGGTGCTGCCGGGAGATCGCGTCGCATCCTCGCCTCCATACGTTGGTGCTTTGGCTCCTCGCCGTACTCGTCGACTTCGGTTCCGTCTTCCTCGCGCCTCGCCTTCACTGACTTGTCGGCGCAGGAGATCTCCTTATCTCCTTCGCTGCAATACCCCCGTCCAAACACCACGTGGTCCTCCAGGGTGCTCCCGCGGTCTCCTCCACCGCGACGGCGCTCCCCTTCTCCCGGCGAGCTATGCGCTCCCGTATCTCGGCGACATCGTCCGCCGCCTCCCCCTTCTCGTCGTCCATCAAGCCGCCACGGATCGCCGCCCGTCATGGCAGATCCCGATCCGTCTCCGCCTTCGCGAACCGATCCGCCTTTGCGTTGTTCACGCGTGAACGGAATCTGATCTGCGCGAAATGCTGACCTCCGCGGCGACCGCTCCAGCGAGCGCCCACGCTCTTGCGTCCGGCCCTGACACGGCCGTTCCTGCTCGCGACGAGCCCAGCGCAGCTCGTACTCGTCCATAACTCACACACGCACGCGGCTTTTCTCTTGTTATGAAAGAGTTTCCTCCCTCACCCCGTAGGTCCTCCCATAGTGGCGTGCCACCGGATGCTAGATCCGAGGTAACAACTTTCCACTAATATGAGAGAATAACAAGAGAAAAGCATCGGGTGTGTGTGAGAGAGTGAATTTGCCTGGCCCAGACTCGAACCGTGCATTTCTCAAGGTGCGGCTCGAGCCTGGGTTGGTTTGTTCACATTGGTTCCTTGGATTCCACCCCTTGGTGCTCTCCTACCCACCTCGCGTCAGTTTCCCTGGTCCCCAACTTCCTACCCTCGAATGTGCACACTCAACATTGCTACACCATAAGTACACCGCATACTCTGGCACCTTATATGCATAATCATGCATATTCGGTGACAAAGGTTTCTATAAAGAGGCTACTGCACGCACGCAGCTCACTGAGCCATGTCCGGATCTCGCGAGAAACAAGAGAAAGGTTTCTATGAAGAGGCTACTGCACGCACGCAGCTCACTGAGCCATGTCCGGATCTCGCGAGAAACAAGAGAAAGGTTTCTATAAAGAGGCTACTGCATGCACGCAGCTCACTGAGCCATGTCCGGATCTCGCGAGAAACAAGAGAAAGGTTTCTATAAAGAGGCTACTGCACGCACGCAGCTCACTGAGCCATGTCCGGATCTCGCGAGAAACAAGAGAAAGGTTTCTATAAAGAGGCTACTACACGCACGCTGCTCACTGAGCCATGTCCGGATCTCGCAA